TGATCATCTCAATAGATGCAGAAAAAGTATTTGAAAAAATTCAACATCCTTTCATGATAAAGGCACTTCTATACTCCTTTACTTAACATAGAAAAGATCATATATGACAAACCCACAGCTAACATCATACTCAAAGGTGAAAGGATGGAAGCTTTTCCTCTAAGATCAGGAACAATATCAGGGTGCCTATTCTCACCACTCCTATTCAACATAGTGCTGGAAATCCTAGCCAGAGAAATCAGGCAAGAAAAAGAAATAAAATGTATTCAAAGGAAAAAGAAGAAGCAAAATTGTCTTGTTTGCAGATGCTATGATCTTATAGCATAGAAAACCCTAAAGACTCCACCAAAAACTGTTATAACTAATGAATAAAGATAGTAAAGTTGCAGAATACAAAATCAACATACAAAAATCAGTTGTTTAGAGGCAGGCCTGGGGGTATAGTGGTTAAGTTCGATGTGCTTTACTTCAGCAGGGGCCGAAGTTCACAGGTTCGGATCCTAGGTGTGAACATACACCACATCAAGCCATGCTGTGGTGGCAACTCACATACAAAATAGAGGAAGATGGGCACAGATGTTAGCTCAGGGTGAATCGTCCTCACCAAAAAAAGAAATCACTTCTGTTTCTATACACTAACAACAAACTCTCTGAAAATAAATAAAGAAAACAACTTAATTTTAAAGAGAAACAAAAACAATAAAATACTTAGGAATAAATTTAACCACGGAATTGAAAGATCTGTAAACCAATATCTCATAAGACATTGATGAAAATAATGAAGACACAAACATGGATCAGAAAAATTAATATTTTTAAATGTACATACTTCCCAAAGCCTTCTATACATTTAATGCAATCCCTATCAAAATTCTAATGTATTTTTTAAGGAAATTTTAAAAATGATCCTAAAATTCATATGGAACCACAAGGGATGCAGAATACCCAAAGCAATCTTGAGAAAGAAGAGAAAAGTTGAAGGCATTAAACTACACGTTTTCAAATTATACTATAAAGCTATAGTAATCAAAACAGTATAGTACTGGAATAAAAATGATGCATCGACCAGTGGAACATAATTGAGGTCCAGAAACAGACCCACACATGTCCCATCAACTAATATTTGACAAGGGAGCCAGGAATACTTAATGGAGAATGGATAGTCTCTTCAATAAACGGTGCAGGGAAAACTGGATATTCACACGCAAAAGAATGAAACAGAACCCCTATCATACACCACTCACAAAACTTAACTCAAAATGGACTAAAGACTTAAATGTAAAATCTGAAACCATAAAAATCCTAAAAGGAAACAGCTCCTTGACATGGTCTTGACAATGATTTTTTGGATATGCACCAAACGCACAAGCAATAAAAGCAAAATGAAACAAAGGAGACTACATCAAACTATAAAAGTTTCTGCACAGGAAAATAAATGATCAACAAAATAAAAAAGCAACCTAGGAAATGGGAAAAAAATTTGCAAGACATATATCTGATATGGGGTTAACATCAAAAATATGTAAAGAACTCATACAACTCAACAGAAAAAGGAGATCTGATTAAAAATGAACATAGGAACTGAAGAGACATTTTTCCAAAGAAGATATACAAATGGGCAACAGGTACATGAAAAGTTGCTCAACATCACTAATTGTCAGGGAAATTCAAATCAAAACCACAATAAGATATCACCTCAAACCTGTTAGAATGGCTATCATCAAAAAGTCAAAAGATAAGTGTTGGCAAGGATGTGGAGAAAAGGGAACCCTTATGTACTGTTGATGGAAATGGAAATTGGAACAACTAAGGAAAACAGCAAGGAGGTTCCTCAAAAAATTGAAAATAGGATTATCACATGACCCAGTAATCATACTTCTGGGTATGTATCCAAAGAAAATGAAAGCAGGATGTTGAAGAGATTTCTGCACTCCCGTGTTTATTGCAACATTATTCACAATAGCCAAGATATGAAAACACCCTAAGTGTCCATCAGTGAATAATGAATGAAGAACATGTGATTACATATTTACACACACACACACACACACACAGAGCAATACTATTCAGCCATGAAAAAGAAAGAAATCCTCTCATTTGCTTCAACATGGATTCAACATTGGGGGCATTATGCTAAGTGAAATAAATCAGATAGAGAAAGACAAATATTGTATGATATCTGATATCACTTATAGATGGAATCTAAAAATGCTAAATTATAGACACAGAGGGTAGAAGAGTGGTTTCCACGGCCTTGGGGTTGGTGGAAATGGGGAGATGTTGGTCAAAGAGTACACACTTCCATTTAGGAGAATGGATAGATCTGGGGATCTAATGCACAACATTGTGATTACAGTTATCACCACTGTATTGTATACTTGAAAGCTGCTAAGAAAGTAGATCTGAAATGTTCTCCCAGGAAATGGTAATTGTGTGACCTAATGGAAGTGTTAGTCAATACCGTGGTGGTAGTCCTATTGCAATACATGAGTGTATCAAATCAACACATGTACACCTTAAACTTACACAATGTAATATATCAACTATATCTCAATAAAGCTGGGGGGGGAATATTGAGTGTAGACCACATCCTTTCAAAAAGGTTGATTTTTTTTTATCCTGTATATGTAGGTATAGTTACAGACACAGTGTAGGGAAAATGTGTGCTTCATAGGAAAGCTATGCATCATCTATAACTCCCCCTTTTGCTTTAGCTGACTGATGCTATGGGAGCTATCTTTTCAACTTTGTAAATTATCAACAACTGATAGCAGTGCAAAATAATTCCTGTCTATAGATATACAAATTCTGTTCTGTCCAGTAGAGGTTCAACTGACTTTTCAAGATAGTTTTGTCTTCATTTGCACATTCACATCAATATTCCTTCACCTTAAATAAGATTGCACTTTTTGACTCTTCTCTTTTGAACTGGTTGTAACACCTGACTGATTTCCTCATTAATGAGTTAAATAATGTATTTAACTTGTGTTCATTTAAAAAATAGAAGACATACAAATGGTCAACAGGTATATGAAAAGATGCTCAACATCACTAATTATTAGGAAATGCAAATCAAAGCAATGAGATATCACCTCACAGCTGTTAAGATGGCTATTATCAAAAAAAAAAAATAAAGGAAAAGAGTTGGAGAGAGTGTGGAGAAATTGAACCCTTGGACACAGTTGGTAGAATGTAAAGTGGTTCAATTTATGGAAAACAGTATGGAGTTTCCTCAAAAAATTAAAAGTCAAATTACCATATGACCCAGCAATCCCTCTTCTGGGTATTTATCCAAAATAACTGAAATCAGGATCCCAAAGAGATATTTGCACTTCCATGTTCCAATATTGTAACATAATTCACAATAGCCAAGAAGTAGAAACAACCTAAATGTCCATCAGTGATGAATGGATAAAGCAAATTTAGTAAATACATACTCTGGAATATCATTCAGCCATAAAAATCAAAGAAGTCTTGACATATGCTATAACATGGATGAACCTTGAGGACATTTTGCTAAGTGAAATAAGTCAATCACAGAAGGACAAATACTGCATAATTTCACTTATATGAAAGGTCTAAAGTAGTCAGCCTCGTAGAAACAGAAAGTAGAATGCTGACTGCCAGAGCCTGAGGGAAGAGGAAACGGAGAGTCACAGTTCAATGAGTAGAGTATCAGTCACGCAAGATGAAAAGTTCTAGAGACCTGTTGTCCACAGGGTGATTATAGTTAACGATAATGAGCACTTAATAATTTGTTAAGAGGGTAGATTTCATGCAATGAGGTTTTTTACTACAAATTTTTTTAAAGCTTTGGGGAGAAATGGTAGGACATGGAATACAAGGAAATATGTTTAGTTAGTGGCTTCTATGCCAGACTCCTTTAAAGGTTCCAGGACTCTAACTGTTAAAACAACTTTTATTTTAGCTAGATTGGTAAAGAGTAATTTTGGAAGTCTTGGGGATTTCTTAGTGTGTATGTGATTCACAGGTAGAATCTGAGTCTCAGGCTTTCCTTTCATTTCATACGGAAGAAAGAATTAAAAACAGTAATTTGCACAAGCCAAAAATCAGAGTCATTGTGACAAGCACTCTACAGGTAATTACACCTGGCAGTGGTAGGTAAATAATTACTGTACCATGAATTTGTTACTAAAATCCAATAAAGATGGGGCAAAGTTTAGCAAACTGAAAACAGAGCCAAATTTCACTTAAAGAACACAGGGTATGTAGTTATTGATAATGGTTGAAATCTAGTCAAATAAAACATATTGTTTTGAAGAAGAATGTAGCATGTGAAGAAGTACAATGTAGCATATATTTATTCAAAATATATAAATCAATACAGTGAGTAGTAACAACAAATAATTAATGCTGACATTTAAAAAGTAGTACTGTCTTTACAGAGGAATCATAATTGATGAGAAGTGCACTAAAATTTGCATAAGCGATTAAAACCATAGATGGCACTATTATTGGCCAGAAATGCAGGCATGGACCCTGGAAGAAACTCTCAGACGTGTCTGTGAAGCTGAATATGTAAATATAGTCCATGTAAGTAAAAGTATTTGTCACTTGTTTCATGCTCCATGAGATGAGGTCACTCCCACCATGTTCACTTGACAACTGTTCCCTGGTGAAATGCTCTGGAAGAGGTAAACCAAATTCATGCTATAGGAAAAACATTGTTCTTCAACTCTTTCAGAAAATGACTCAAAACTGTTTTCATGATTTATGATTTGAAAGCAAACAGAGCTCAGGAAAAACTAGGATTAAATGACCTTTTATACACACATAGTATGCACAATCATGGGTATACACACACAACAAACACACTATATGCAACAACAGATACACAAAAACTCTTCTTCTTGCACATGAGGGCTGGTAGCCACTATGCATAACGAAAGATTTGGTCACCCAGGAAATGTTTCCAAGGACATGATTAGAAAGGAGAACAGCTTGTTAAGGTCAGAGTTACAGAGCACAGAATCACCTACCATTGGTTTTTCTCAACTCCTCCACAAGGCAACGGGCTTCCTCTTGAACTCGGTCCTCAATACTCCTCTTCCCCATCCCGAAATTTCGCAGAGTCATGAGGGAGAAGCGCCGGATCTCTTTCCACCTCTTTCCATTGCTGGAAATGATTCCTACCAGGAGGAGAAACAGAAAGTCAGAAGGAGATCCTAGGCAAATGGGAGGAAGCTGACACTTGACAGCCTTACAGCTAGTCCAAGATTTGCTAAGGAGCTCTAAAAATTCCTGTTTTCCATCCTCCCCACCCCCATTATCAATGCTGAACATGTGCACGTGCACACCTACCATGTCCTTTATTAACTCTTTCAGTCACTGGGAAACGGCCTCTCCCGGAAAACTCCTCCCCCAGATCAATCAGGGCTTCCTTCACTGCTTCATATCCATGCAGCACCACAGTGGGCTTCATGCCAAAATACAGAGTAAACACAGGGCCATAGACTTTTGAAAGCTGGGAAAGGAGATGCAAATAATATCAAAAGAAGTCACTGCTTGATACTAAATTGTGCCTGATTCAGAATGATATTATCATTCTATTTTTATGGGGTTTTTTTCTGCCCCACACAGCCTAAACCATTTCTGAATTTAATACATGGATATGAGGTGATTTTTATAGCTGCCATTTATGAATGGCCTGTGGTGTGCCGGGCAATGGCCTAATTGGTACACAGATTACAATTAATCCTCATATCAGCACCTTCAGCAGGTTTATTTGCTCCACTTACCAATAACAAAACTGAGGTCAGAGATTTTCAATTCATTTACAACGTCCCACAGTTACTATAGAGAAGATCCAAAATTGAACCTTTTTTTATTTGACCTCTGATCCAAACCTCAATGCCCACCTTTGGACCAATAACCAGCTGACTATTTCAGGATCACCAGTAGAGCTCTTCCCATGGGAATTCTGATTCAGTAGTCCAATGATGAATACTAGAAATCTGTATTTTGAAAAATTATTTACATTATTTTAATGCCCAGCCCTGTTTGTAATCCACTGGTATTACTAACACAGAAAGAGAGTGAGCATCTCATAGGCAGTGCAAGGACAGGCAATATCTCATGGAGGAACTACTTCTTCCACCCTGAAGTATTCACAGGGTACAGACAGCAGCTTTGTGCAGAATGCAAATCAATGCTGTTATCACCAATTAGGCCTTGACTAATTACTTCTTTCTTTCATTCACCCATGCTGGTGCTGAACCCATAGCCATTTCCTTGACATCAAGTACAATTTGCTTCTTCAGAGAAGTTTAATTATCATGGCTATCTGAGCAAGGCACACAGCTTATGTAGTAGATGATTTGAGAAATGAAATATCTTAACTACAAAACACTTCCCTTACCACTTACCTTCAGCTGGAAACAGAAAATGGCTACAAAGGAAAGAAGAGAAACAACACTCCTGGCTTTTGCCACTTTATTATTTTGATTCTACCATACAAAAACCTAAATGTTTCTCTATTCACAAAACACATTATTTCACTCCACTATTTATGATAGTAATAGACCAGAAAAGGCAAAAGAAATAAAATTTATAGGAAGTAATTTGCTTTACAATGACCTAGTTTAATTGCATGCCCCCAAGAATGTATTTTCTTTTTAAAATTGGCTTTAATTGGCAAAAATGGTGGGGTGAGCTGACCCGGGATTCTCTCCCCTCCAAAATACAACAAAAGATTGGAAGAACTGAATTTCAGAGAATAAACATAATGCCAGCTCGTTAGAGACCTACAATACCAAGAAGGCGGAGATCATAAACCTTGCAGACGTCCTAGGAGGCGCTGGAACGGTAGGAGAGAACATCGCTCCCTCCCCTAGAGTCTGCGATTGCTGCGGCGTGGGTCGGGAAGGAGCAGGGGAGGGGCCGCGTGACCGGGGGATCATCCAGGACTCCTGCCGCTGAGTCAGTGGAGACCTGCTGATGGGGGGAAAGCTTCCGTCCGCGGGGACCCTATAAATCAAGGGCCTTGGGAGACCAGAGAACAGAACTGATCTGAACCCAGACCGGCGCGTGTGAGTAACAGCCCCTCCCCCCTAACAAAGCCAGTGGGCGCAGCCATCTTGCCCCCAGGTGGAGAGCTAACACACCGCTCTCGACCCCCATCTAGTGGCGACAGGCTGTAACTGCAACTGAATTCTACCACCATGAGAAAAAACCGCTCCTCTACCATCCAGCAATTTATAAGAGCCCCAGACCAGAAGGAAAACAATAAAAACACGGAATTAAGTCCTGAGGACTTGGAATTAGGTAAACTAAGTGATAATGAATTCAGAGCAGCTATAATCAAAACTCAATGAGGTAGAGAGAAAGATAGAGAAACAAGCCGAGTTCTGGAGTTACTTCACAAAAGAGATTGAAATCATAAAGAAGAATCAAACAGAATTACTTGAGATGAAAAACACAATGGACCAGATAAAACAGAATGCAGATTCCCTGAATGCCCGTGTAGACAACGTAGAGGAGAAAATTAGCATAATCGAAGATAGACAGGCTGAATGGTGCCAGACAGAGGAAGAAAGAGAACTAAGAATTTAAAAAAATGAGGAAAATCTCCGAGAGATAATGGATTCAATGAGGAGTAAGAACATAAGGATCACAGGAATTCCTGAGAATATGGAAAAGGAAAATGGAGCAGAAAGTGTGCTTAATGAAATTATTGAAGAGAATTTCCCAAATCTAGGGATCAACAGAGAAATGTGTGTAGAGGAGGGTTTTAGATCTCCTAGATTTGTCAATGTAAAAAGACCCACCGCACGGCACATAATAGTAAAGTTGGCAAATAGGAATGATAAGGAAAGAATACTCAGGGAAGTAAGAAAAAAAAAGAGAATAACCTATAAAGGAGCCCCTATCAGACTGTCAGCGGATTTCTCTACAGAAACCCTACAAGCTAGGAGAGAATGGAGTGATATATTCAAAGCTTTAAAGGATAAAAACCTTCAGCCAAGAATACTCTATCCAGCAAGAATTTCCTTCAGATATGAGGGAGAAATTAAATCTTTTCCACACAAACAAAAGTTAAGGGAATTTGTAACTAAAAGCCCTCCATTACAAGAAATCCTCAAGAAGGCTCTCATACTTGAAAAAAGAAAAAAGGGAGAAAGGGGACACAAGCCACAGACTAGGGAGACTGATGGATAGAACCAGAACAGGATAGCAAATAGTCAACTATAGCTTTAGGGTAAAAATAAGGAAACTACCAAAACAAGGACGATCTTAGCACTCTAACTACAAATTAATAAGACGAGTTGGAATAAAAAATGAAAATAATTATTTAGGAGGGGAAGACCAAAGGGTCTAAATCAGTATTGGTCGAGTAAGTAAGAGACCACCAGAGAATACACTATATTATACACGAGATTCTAAATGCAAACTTCAAGGTAGACACTAAAATAAAGTACAGAACAGAGTCACAAATCATAGATAAGGAAAAATCTAAGAAACCCAGCATAAGAAATTGCAGTATTAAATGGGTAGTCTAAAGCACACAGGAAAAGAAACACAGGAAAACAAGATAATGAGCGACAGATTGACAGCATTAGGTCCACATGCATCAATAATCACTCTCAATGTGAACGGATTGAACTCTCCAATAAAAAGACACAGAGTGGCAAAATGGATTAAAGAACAAGATCCAACAATTTGTTGCCTCCAGGAAACACACCTCAGCCCCAAGGACAAACACAGACTCAGGGTGAAGGGGTGGAGGACAATACTTCAAGCAAATAGCAAGGAAAAAAAGGCAGGTGTTGCAATTCTCATATCAGACCAAGTGGATTTCAAAATAAGACAGGTAAAGAGAGACACAGAGGGACAATATATAATGATCAAAGGGACACTTCATCAAGAAGAAATAACGCTTATAAATATCTATGCACCCAAAATAGGAGCACCAAGATTCATAAAGCAACTATTAACAGACCTAAAGGAAGATGTTAAAAACAACACAATAATAGTAGGGGACCTCAACACCCCACTCACATCAATGGACAGATCATCCAGACAGAAAATCAACAAGGAAATAGTGGAGCTGAATGAAAAACTAAAACAATTGGACTTAATAGACATATATAGATCACTCCACCCTGAAGGAGCTGAATACACATTCTCAAGTGCACATGGAACATTCTCTAGGATAGACCATATGTTGGGAAACAAGGCAAGCCTCTACAAATTTAAAAAAATTGAAATAATAACAAGCATCTTCTCAGATCATAGTGCTATAAGGCTAGAAATTAATTACAAGAAAAAAGCTGAGAAAGGCACAAAGATGTGGAGACTAAACAACACACTACTGAACAAGCAATGGATCATTGAAGAAATTAAAGAAGAAATTAAAAAATACCTGGAAACAAATGAAAATGATAGCATGCCATACCAACTCATATAGGATACAGCAAAAGCTGTATTAAGAGGAAAATTCATCGCAATACAGGCACATCTTAACAAACAAGAAAAATCCCAAATAAGCAACCTTGAAGCACACCTAACTGAACTAGAGAAAAAAGAACAAATGAAGCCCAAAGTCAGCAGAAGGAGAGAAATAATAAAAATCAGAGGAGAAATAAATACTATTGAAACGAAAAAGGCAGTAGAAAGGATCAATGAGACAAAGGGCCGGTTTTTTGAGAAGATAAATAAAATTGACAAACCACTAGCCAGACTTACAAAGAAAAAAAGGGAGAAAGCTCAAATAAACAAAATCAGAAATGAACGAGGGGAAATAACAACAGACTCTGCAGAAATGCAACAGATTATACGAGAATACTACAAAAAACTATATGCCAACAGAATGGATAACCTAGAGGAAATGGATAAATTCCTGGACTCCTACAATCTCCCAAAGCTCGCTCAAGAAGAGGCAGACAATTTGAACAGACCAATCACAAGGAAAGAGATTGAAACAGCAATCAAAAGCATCCCAAAGAATAAAACCCCAGGACCAGATGGCTTTCCTGGGGAATTCTACCAAACTTTCAGAGAGGATTTAATACCTATCCTTTTCAAGCTATTCCAAAAAATTAGGGAAGATGGAACACTTCCTAACACATTCTATGAGGCCAACATCACGCTGATACCAAAACCTGACAAGGACACCACGAAAAAAGAGAACTACAGGCCAATATCACTGATGAACATAGATGCAAAAATTCTCAACAAAATTTTGGCAACCAGAATTCAGCAATTCATCAAAAGAATCATACATCAGGATCAGGTGGGATTCATACCAGGGACACAGGGATGCTTCAACATCCGCAAATCAATCAACGTGATACACCACATCAACAAACTGAGGAATAAAAACCACATGATCATCTCAATAGATGCAGAGAAGGCATTTGACAAGATCCAACAGCCATTTATGATAAAAACTCTGAACAAAATGGGCATAGAAGGAAACTACCTCAACATAATAAAGGCCATATACGACAAACCCATAGCCAACGTCATACTCAATGGGCAAAAACTGAACCCCATCCCCCTGAAAACAGGAACAAGACAAGGATGCCCTCTATCACCACTCTTATTTAAAATAGTACTGGAGGTCCTGGCCAGAGCAATCAGGCAAGAAAAAGGAATAAAAGGAATCCAAATAGGGAGCGAAGAAGTGAAACTCTCACTGTTTGCAGACGACATGATCTTACATATAGAAAACCCCAAAGAATCCATTGGAAAACTGTTAGAAGTAATCAACAACTACAGCAAAGTTGCAGGGTATAAAATCAATTTGCATAAATCAGTAGCATTTCTATACTCCAGTAATGAACCAACAGAAAAAGAACTCAAGAATACAATACCATTCACAATCGCAACAAAAAGAATAAAATACCTTGGGGTAAATTTAACTAAGGAAGTGAAGGACTTATATAATGAAAATTACAAGGCCTTTCTGAGAGAATTGGATGAGGACATAAGGAGATGGAAAGACATTCCATGTACATGGATTGGAAGAATAAACATAGTTAAAATGTCTATTCTACCTAAAGCAATCTACAGATTCAACGCCATCCCAATCAGAATCCCAATGACATTCTTTACAGAATTAGAACAAAGAATCCTAAAATTCATATGGGGCAACAAAAGACCCTGAATTGCTAAAGCAATCCTGAGAAAAAAGAACAAAACGGGAGGCATCACAATCCCTGACTTCAAAACATACTACAAAGCTACAGTAATCAAAACAGCATGGTACTGGTACAAAAACAGGTGCACAGATCAATGGAACAGAATTGAAAGCCCAGAAATAAAACCACACATCTATGGACAGCTTATCTTTGACAAAGGAGCTGAGGGCATACAATGGAGAAAAGAAAGTCTTTTCAACAAATGGTGCTGGGAAAACTGGAAAGCCACATGTAAAAGAATGAAAATGGACCATTCTTTTTCACCATTCACCAAAATAAACTCAAAATGGATTAAAGACCTAAAGGTGAGACCTGAAACCATAAGGCTTCTGGAAGAAAACGTAGGCAGTACACTCTTTGACATCAGTATTAAAAGGATCTTTTCGGACACCATGCCTTCTCAGAGAAGGGAAACAATAGAAAGAATAAACAAATGGGACTTCATCAGATTAAAGAGCTTCTTCAAGGCAAATGAAAACAGGATTGAAACAAAAAAACAACCCACTAACTGGGAAAAAAATATTTGCAAGTCATATATCTGACAAAGGCTTAATATCCTTAATATATAAAGAACTCTCGCAACTCAACCACAAAACATCAAACAACCCAATCAAAAAATGGGCTGGAGACATGAACAGACATTTCTCCAAAGAAGATATACTGATGGCCAATAGGCACATGAAAAGATGCTCATCATCACTGATCATCAGGGAAATGCAAATCAAAAATCAAAACTACACTAAGATATCACCTTACACCCGTGAGAATGACAAAAATATCTAAAACTAATAGCAACAAATGTTGGAGAGGTTGCGGAGAAAAAGGAACCCTCATACACTGCTGGTGGGAATGCAAACTGGTGCAGCCACTATGGAAAACAATATGGAGATTCCTCAAAAAACTAAAAATAGAACTACCATACGATCCAGCCATCCCACTACTGGGTATTTATCCAAAGAGCCTGAAGTCAGCAATCCCAAAAGTCCTGTGCACCCCAATGTTTATTGCAGCACTGTTTACAATAGCCAAGACGTGGAAGCAACCTAAGTGCCCATCAACAGACGAATGGATAAAGAAGATGTGGTACATATATACAATGGAATACCACTCAGCTGCAAAACAGAACAAAATCATTCCATTTGCAATAACATGGATGGACCTTGAGAGAATTATGTTAAGTGAAATAAGCCAGCGAGAGAAAGATAATCTGTGTATGACTCCACTCATATGAGGAATTTAAAACTATGGACCAAGAACAGTTTATTGGATACCAGGGGAAAGGTGGGGTGGGGGTGGGCACAAAGGGTGAAGTGGTGCACCTACAACATGACTGACAAACATTAATGTACAATTGAAATTTCACAAGATTGTAACCTATCAATAACTCAATAAAAAAAATGAAAAAAAAATTGGCTTTAATTTACTTACCCTTTGAAAGCCACTTGAGGAACATAAAACATACTTACATTACTTAAGGATTTGCTGATGTTCTTAACATCTAACTGTAGGATATTTCCAATAATAGGGAGAGGAGTGGGGCCAGGTGGGAGCTTCCCTTTCCTGGAGCTCTCTTTCCAGAGTAAAAGGAGAAGTAAACAGGAGAGACAGAGCCCCAGAACCACAACCAGATCCATTCTCTCTTCCTACTCAGACAATTGTGATCCTGAAATCCAAAGGTTTTATAATACCCCATGTTAATTCGACTTGTGACTCTTTTGCCTACAAATCGATGTCAGCTAGATCAGCTCCAATCTCTTCTCAGTGGACTTTGGCCTATTGATAAAGGTAAAAATAGAATAATCTTTGACCATGTCCTCCTTTTTTTCCAATGCTCCACCATGGAGATTCTGGCTTAATTGGTTATGAATGGGGCCCAGGTATTGGTAATTATGTTAAGAATACACCAGAGATGATTTCAATATGCAGCCAGGATTAAGAAATACTGAACTAAATTATTTGATCCAAAAATTGCTCAACATTCTAGATTCTCAGATTGATGACCTGTTGGGAATTTATGACTTTGTATTGTATTGCAGTATATTCTGTGGCTTTTATAAAAAAAAAAAGGGGGGGATAATCTTTAATGCTTTGTCAAAAACTACTATACTAAAATGCATAAAGACATTTGGACCAATGAAGAAATGGATATGATGGTAGTCCCATATATTAGTACATATAGCCTAGATGTGTAGGAGGCCTGCACATATAGCCTAGATATGTAGGTTTGTGTAAGTACTGTAGATGAGGGAGACATTTTCCTCTGTGCTTCCAGGTTCTCTTGCCTGGTCTAAGACTTAAACTGACATGAGACAGATTAAAATGAGAAAAACAAAGAAAAGTTTAATAACATGCATAGATGGAAGAAACCAAGTACTTGCCAAAATGGCCAAAGCCCTCAACTTAAATACCACTCTCAGCTAAACATGAAAAAAGATGTTGGAGCTGGGGAGAGTTAGGGATTTCAAAGGGAAGGAAGGCAATTCACAGATAGGTGAAAAGGAGCAAACATTTGGAAAACAAGTCTTTGTTTAGCAACACAGAAACAGAATAACAGAGGGTAGCACAACAAACAGGCTTTTCTAAGTTCCTCCCTATCTGCCACTTAGTTCATGTTATGCTAAGGTGATAGCTTGCTTCCTGAGACAGGTTTTTTTAATCTGAATTTTTTTAGGCAATTGAGGGGGAGGTAACAAGAAAAACTTTCTGAGTCTTTTATTTCTTAAAAATAATCAGCCTAGGGGCCAGCTCCATGGCCTAGTGGTCTAAGTTCATGTGCTCTGCTTCAGGGGCCCAGGGTTTCGCCAGTTCAGATCCTGGGCACGAACACGGCACCACTTGTCAGGCCATGCTAAGGCAGTGTCCCACATAGCACAATCAGAAGGACCTACAACTAGAATATAATAGAATATAGCTGTATATTCTAGTTCTGGGGGGCTTTGGGGAGAAGAAGAAGAAAAAAAACAAGATTGGCAATAGATTTTAGCTCAGGTGCCAATCTTTAAAAAAAAATCAGCCTAAAATAATCTTCATGTTAATGAGAGACATTTTGGGGTGGCAAATTTTGTTCCCCTTCAGTACACTCCATGATATTTGCACAATAACGAAATCACCTCACAAAACATTTCTCAGAACATATTCCAGTCAGTAAGTGACATGTGACTGTACTATAATTCAATAGTTCAGGATTTACCATAATCAGTAACTTCAAAGTAAATATTGAGTTAATAATTGCAGCACCTGTTTATTAATACGATAGTTAAGGTTGTTTGGTTTTGTAACCTTTGGACTTGAGTGAACCCAGGTATCAGTGAATCTGTTATCCAGGACAGAGAAGTAGTAATTTGGTGAGTGGCTCAAAGCCTTGAACTCTGAAAGAAATGCACTAACTTATGGGATGAAATAAGCTTCATGGCTCTCTTTAGAGCAATAATTTTATTACTGAAGAGATTGTGTCTCTGTCCTTCCCTTTCTTCGGGAAAGGCTCTTGCCTGGCCCTTTCTCTTTCCATAGATGAAAGAGCTGTAGATATTTTTGAGGTATAAGTCATTTCAGAGATCCACTAGATTAATCCCTACTTTATTTTTACAAATGAGGAATTGGTGACTCACTGAGGTCAAATGTCTCCAACACATTAGTAAAAGATCTTGAGTTAGAATCCTGGTTTCCATTTCCAAGGTCAGTAACCTTTCACATTGAAGATATTTCCGATCACTGCCCAGATGGATGGCAGGAGGGTATCAGCATGAAGCCCTCCCTAGTCACAGAGTAATATATTTCAAGTAAAATGAATCATATTTTTATTTAGTATCTAGCTTTTTTCAGCTATTATGTCTCTGATATCATATTATGATATTATTGTTTGTTTTGTTAAAAAAGATAAATTTGTCCTAAAGCACTATGAGGGAAGAAAGAAAGTATGGGATAAATTCTGAATGTGAAAAAGAAAGTTTTCTTGAACTTTTAGTCTACTCTTGAGAAGGAGATTATAAAAGATTTTTCTTTATTTTTGGGTAAGTCTACCTAAAAGACAAAAATTCTGTTTTGTACAAATAATCTCCTATGTTCCAAAAGGCTGAAATCTCTCTATTAAGAGAACTTAAGGGTTTTTTTTTTTAGCTATTTGATTTTGTGTGTTTGCCTTTAACATCTTCTATTGTAACTTTCGTTAAACGGAAAACTAAGAATTGTTTCACAGTGAGCATTGTTTCCTATCTGATCAAGTGTTTTAAAACCTTTTGATATTTTTGACAAACTTCCCCAAAATTCAAACTTTGAGAATTTCCAATGGTGCCCTTGTACCTCTTGAATAATTCATTCTCTCTTTAAAGGGGGAGATAGTGAGCTAATTAGGCTTATTTGGTATGTTAAATTACATGGAAGTCATTGTCAAATAATTGATGACAAACCTTCTTAGGTTATATTGTATGGGTGAATGTCATTAATATGTGTTTTAAAAAGTTATATAACATTCCTAAAATTCTGATCTGTTCTGGTTGTCAGCCATAATTCTAGCTGTTATTTTTAAGTGTTGTATATCACAGAAATAGCCAAGTTTCTTTGTCAATTGCCATTTTTGAGTCTTTTGTCACTTGCAGACTGTTGTTGTTTTACTCTGATGATTTTGCAGATGTTTTCAACTTCAGAGAGATTCATGAAAAGGACTCTGACACTTGCTCTACAATGCAGGTTTCTGATAAACTTTCATATTATAACACAGAGCTGGGTAATAAATTACACAACTGTAGCAGAGAAACTGATGGCCTCATAACTGCTAACAGAAGATTAAGATCAAGAATTGATTACATGGGGCTGAAAGAACTGATAAGGATGATTATAGTTTTTATGGCTGTTCATTTGAAACATTGATGATTTTTAATGTTTTGTTTTTCCATATATAAGGAAATTGTTTTCTCTTTCCTCTTAAGCTAACCATGATGTACAACCATCAGGTAAAATTATACCTTTGTAAGCAGAATTGAAACATTTATTTTTTTCTCCTTACCTGATTCCTCCACAATTTGGAAACTCTTGATGAGTGAGTATTCTTAGTTTCATGGCAATATAGTTATTTGCATAAGTTCAAAAAGAATCTGGTCTCCTTACAGTAGGACACAATTGGAAACATTGGTTGTAATATCAAGACTTTGACTGCAATGTCTGATTTGAGAGAAACATGCATAGACTCAGATATAACCAGAGAGCTTTGAGGAATAAAGATTGACAGAATGGAATAAAGCCACTTGGAAATATTGGCCTGGTACCTTGCTTACAGGTTTCCCAGCAACCTTACCAGGTGAGTAAAGAAGGTCACTTCCCTGGCAGGTACAAAAACCTCAGGATATTTTGTGGAAACTCAAGAGAAGAGAGAAATTCACCCAAATCTACAGATATTGTGATGGAATCTGAAGGTAAGTCCTTCCCCTGGCCTGGTGTTTTGAGAGGCCTTTAAAGTTGAACCTGAGATTCCTTATGAAAAGATCCAGCAAGGCAGGTTTAAAAGAGCCGATGTGATCAATTGCTATTCTTGCTGTACTTATGTAAATATGTAAATTCTGTAAATAACTGGGCCAAGTTTATTGAACCTAGACTTATTTTGCAAACCAGTGAGTTTTAATTTGGCTATCTTTGGTAAAAATGAGGGTGATTTTAGAGAGAAAAATTATGGTTCAGTAAAAACTATAGTAAATATTCATGGATATTAGATTCTAGTTCTGTTAATTGTCTTCAAGGTTTTTGTTTTCTATCTGTAAAATGGACTGGATCTGGAATTATTCTAGTCTCCTGAAATATCTGGCTAAAAATGTCTAAATTAACATTTTCAATTTTTCCCATGATTTTCATTTGGAATCACTGTGAACTGAAACCACCCTTTTTCCTGAAGCCCTCTAAACTGAAGCTGGACAACTTGATATAAACTTATGAAAGATTCATATCTGTTGCTGTGTAAGCCACTCAAAAAGATGCCTGAATACTCAATTACATCATCAGAGACATTTCAAACTGCAGGAGATTCTTCAACTCTGACTTCTGAAAATCTTCTTCACTGGCTATCCCCTGGGCTCAGAAACTGGTTTATAATTTGCTCCAACCATTAATCTTATTTTTCTTTTTGTTTCTCTTGAAATGCATCTTATTAAATACCTGGTTACTTCTTATACAATATAGGCCTAACTTTGGGATCCCTGTTGCATCACCATCTTACTAAAAGAGTGGTTCAATGAGATGGAACAACCTACACCTCTTATCAGCAGGAAGAAGCTAGGGCAGTAATCACCCCATTTCCCTCAAGGTTGAGGAATGAACAACAAAAAATGGAGAATTTGTAACTGTGGGCTCTCTAGGACCAGTTCAACTGACCCCATCTTATCAACAGAGTAATTGAGTGGTTTTTCACTAACTGAAACCCCTTGTCTGGTTTAGGCCAGTTGAGACCACAAACGCATCAATCTGGCCTACATAAATTCCCGGTGAGTGACCTTTTTGGTGTCATAGGGCTGAAAAATTCTAACTCAGATCATGCTAACACCACTACTTTTTGAACAAGCCTCCTGTGAAGACCCATGAAGTTTGACTATACTTCCGCAGATCATCAATTCTTCACTTCTTCTTACCTCTAATCATCTATCTCAACACTTCAGA